AATTTCGTATGGTGAGTATAGAGAACCGAAGACTCTTTTTTCTGGTAACGAGGCTATATCTTAGTTTTCAAAGATGACAACGAATTTACATTTTGTTTCTTAATCACGGATAGAGGCGGGTAGCTACAGTATCCACATACCATATGGCGGAATGTGTGCTCGTTTATCACTCATGTTCTATAAAAAAAGTATGAAAAAGAAAAAAATAAAAGGAAAATTGAATATTTCAACTTTACAGAATTTTTATTATCAATCGATTAGAATCTAATGACCTGTTATTTATTTAAGTTAATGTTGTTTTATTACATCAATTTGTTCGATCTAAAAATATACTTTCTTATTATAAGTATAATGGCGACGTTTAACCAGTGTCATTAGTGCTATTTTTTATTAATTTGTAAATACTTGCCAACGTTAAATTGTTGGTAGATTCATAAGTCTTGTAAAGGTTTCTTCAACTTATTTTAATTAGTTTTATATAAACATATTCTTGTATGATTGTTTTGTCACGTAATTTTTAATTTTATACACTTCAACTATAATTGTTATATATTTATGCTTTGGTTTATAAGTTAGTAATTATTATTTTTTCGAAATGTGTCATAAGTCATAACCTTTAATTAGGACCACATAAAAGATTTTTTTAGCGACCTAGTCTTTCCCAGTTTGTTTGTTTTATTTTTTAACATGAATTTAACGGAAAAACAAGTGATGTATGTTTGTATTAACGTATTCACCTCGACAACTACATACTAAGTAAAATTTAAACAAACTTTATATCCACTAGCACATATCGCCCCGTGGGTATCGTAAGAGACGACACAGGGAAACTGAAACAGGAGATGGGCAGCAGCGTCTTCCTGATAACAAAATCCCTCCATGAGGCAATCTATGAGGGAGGTCCTTGTTCTTTTGACTTTTATAGGCTGTAATGGATAGATAATGGTATTAATACAATAATGTAATAATTTTACATTGTAGCTGTGATGTGTTTTTAAACGAACCGATTTTTACTTTTTAAGTATTGATTTGTTTATTTTACTAATTTAATAGGGCCAATGGCTGTTTACTTTGTTTCCTTAATATCTAAATAAATCATAAGAAGTATTAAAAATTTGTTTGATTATCGTTCTCGCCTCCAACCTCTTAATCAATCTACACTCCATCCAACTTAATGGCGTGACAAACAGTAACAATCATCATTACCCATAGATTAATGATAAGTCATCGCAGAGCGCGCGATGACTTTTCATTAATCTATGTCATTACCATTACAGGTTATTAAAAGTATAGATTGCCTAAAAAGGCGGCGCGGGACTATTTGCTATAGTTGCCACGCTTGGCAAGCGGGTTGGCAACCGAAGTTTTATTTTTATTTTTAGTTGTTCTTAGGAAGACGCTGCTGACCATCTCCTGATTTGTATCTCTCTGTCGCCTCTTACGACATTCACGGGATATTATTTGCGTAGTGGATATTCTTACACCGCCACTACACAGTAATATATTTGCTTTTAAAATTAATTAAATTATTTTCCTCAAATTCTATCTATACTACAGAGCATAATATAACCACGTTTTACACATAGCTAATAATAAAATGCCCCTTATCTTTACATTGAAGTACTTTGAACGATTAAACGAAACAATATAAAGTTAAAAGTATTTAGGTTGGAATCCTGCATGATTTATGAAGTCGTAAATTACCAACTTTAAACATGTAACAATAAAGCACTCGCCTTTAGTTATGTAGATTGTGTAGCGAAATTATTTCATAATAAGTACCACCCAGAAGTGGCGGGAAACAAATCAGGAGATGGACAGCAGCGTCTTCCTAATAACGACTAAAAATAAAAACCTGCGGCCGCCAACCTGCATACCAAGCATGGCAACTATGGCAAATATCTTCGCTATGAGGCAATCTATGAGGGAGGCCTATGTTCAGCAATGGACTTTAATAGGCTGTACGGTAACGGTACCATGAAATAGGTGGTAAGCGTCTTTTTCTGCCTTTTTTTATAGGATAGGGTGACAAACGAGTATACAGTCCACCTGATGGTAAGTGGTTGCTGTGGCACATAGACATCTATATTTCTCTTTTTTTTTCTCACCTTCAGTTTTTACATCCTCAATAAAGAACAAAAATGCAGATGCGTCGTCACCCGTGAGGACTAAAGGGAATGCCTCTTTTCCACTAAAATGGGTCTCCGGTTCTCTACACTCACCATACGAAACGCAGCAGTGTCAAGCTGCCGTTTTACGCTGGTATTCTGTGATAGTGGTCCTTCCCCAGTCGGGCCGACCCATTCGTGCTACAACTATACTACTAATATATCTCATTCTTCGGATTTGTACAATATCATCATCATCATTACAGCCCTTCACAAGTCCACTGCTGAACATAGGCCTCCCCCATGGAATGCCACGAAGCACGGTCCTGAGCCACCTGCATCCATCGACTTCCTGCATGTCTTAACGGGTCGTCACTCCATCTAGTGTGGGGTACGCCCTGTACTTCATCCGCCGGTACGAACCACTTGGGAACCTTTTTTCCCCATCGGTTGTCGGTTCTTCGAGCTATATGGCTGGCCCATTGCGACTGCAGCTTACTAATCCTTTGGGCTATGTCGGTCCTCTGGTTCTACTGCGGATATCCTCATTTCTAAGTTTATCACGCAGAGAAACTCCGAGCATAGCCCTCTCCATAGCTCACTGAGCGACCTTGAGCTTCCTCATCCAGCCAGCAGTGAAGGACCACGTCTCAGTTCCATATGTCATTACTGCCAACACGCATTGGTTTTACAGTCTCGTTTTCAAGTTTTAAGGTATACCACGCATAGAGCACGGTCCCGAGCCACCTGCATCCATCGACTTTCTGCATGTCTTACTAGGTCGGCACTCCATCTAGTGGGGATATCCTTGTAACATCCTTATTGCATTTAACAAGAATAAAGTTAAAATTAAAGCACCCGCATCTTAGTTGTCTTTCCTGCTTCAGCATGTGACCTTGAGACCGTCTTATCTCTTACACTATAACTAATGAGACCTGGAAGGGCCAACAGTTTCTGCTTACGTTTGGGATTTCTTTGAATTCGCGCCTTCACAGCTTTTATCACTGCTGAAGTCCTAACAGACTGAGGGCGACCACTTCTTGACCTGTCATCTACACTAGAGTCTTCATTGTATCGTTTGATGGTACGATAAACGAATCTTTTGGTTATATTCAAATTTTTCAGTATGTCAAAAATTTGAATTGGCGCGTAACCGCAACGATGCAACACAATAACTGCAACACGGTCTTCTTTAAGCGTCCACTCCTTATTTAAAAATGAGTAAAATTCTAAAAAGTATACAGTTTTATTTTCATGAACAATTCGAAATTCGAATTCAATAAACTTTTTTGTGGCCAGCATTCTAAAAGAAAAGTTTTTACTGTGTGACAATACTTATGACCTGACTAGGTATAGTTAATACCAAATTCTTATACCACAGCTATAAATATTTTTCCTACTTTCCGATAACTTCGCAGCAACCAGCAACTATGGTGCGAAGTACTCGGAAAGTCTGTATTTAAAAATTGAATAAAATTCATCTTTTAGTTACCGGTTAAATGTTTTTGAAGTATTTTATAAAATATTTTTGGATTAATCTGAATTATGTAAGGATCTATAGATTTAGTGATAAAATTTTCGGCGACAAAATGCTGAACGCTATTTCGTTATAGAAATAAAACCACGCCCAATGGTAGATTCCCTATTTATCCTCACTAGGAGATCGAAACTCGGTATACGAGTCACTTGAATGTAGTACAGTATGATTGGGGGACGTTTTGTGTACTCTTCAAGTATAAGTACTACAACACTTAATTCCCACTCAGTATTTCCATGTACATAAACACACACAAACATATATTGTACGTTGGTAGAGGAGGAAATAAAAATGGTGGACAGGTGGGGGTAACAGACACTTTAATTTTATTTATTCGTATAGATTTAAATTATTACTTTGTAGAATAGATAAAATATTTAAAGTAAAACGGGTTAATTTCACATTAGATTTGATCATTAATAAGCGTTTACTCAATACGACTCGATATCTCGATATTATGGAGATATATGAATTATGGGATTATATGAATTTTCTTATTCCTCATCCCGAAAAAGTCTACTGGACATGGATCTCTCTCGTTGTGACAATTACTGTTACCATTACAGCCATTCAAAAGTTAACTTTTTTTTTAGGATATGGTGACATACGAGCACGCAGTCCACCTGATGGTAAGTGGTTACTGTGAACCATAGACATCTACATCTATCCTCAATAAAGACTCAACATGCAGATGCGTTGTCACCCGTGAGGACTAAGATGAAATGCCTCTTTGCCAGTAAAAGGGTCTCCGGTTCTCTACACTCACCATACGAAACACAGCAGCGTTAAGCTGCTATTTTACGCTGGTTTTCTGTGAGAGCGTGGTCCTTCCCCGATCGAGCCGACCCATTCATGTTACAACTATACTACTAATATAGCTGCAGCATAGCTCTACCACGTAAGTACTGCAGAACACAAGCCTCCCCCATAGATTGCTTCTTAGGGGGATATGTTCCATAGCGGCCACGCTTGGCAGACGGATTTGCAACAGCAATTGTTTATTTTTAGTCGTTATTAGGATGACGTTGATGCCTGTCTGATTTGTTTCCCTCTGTCGCCTGTTACGACACTGATATTAGGTTGTAGATATTCTTACACCGTAACTACCGTTAACGGTAGTAAGGACAGCAGGCAGTAAGTACAAGCTGCTGCCCATTCGATCGTTTGACATCCATCTATCGGAAGCCGTGAGAACTACTAATGAACACGAATTAATTAATATCACACTGTTTATGTTATTGAAAGTTACGTTTGTTTTGTAAACGTAAATCTCATATTCGCCTAAAAACATTTCAGTGTTTTCATTCCATAGTTGATATCGTGCAATACCAGACTTATTCACACTTGTTCTGGCAATGAAAAATTATTTTTTATCTGTGCTATTGTGCTTTGGTGAGTATCTGAAAGTGTTTTTAAATATATTAAAACCTCAACGATCTGACTCGGATGACTGTCGCGGGAAGGTTTTGTTTTGTATGTGGGTGTATTTATGTTTAGTAAATAAAAACGTTTGTGTTTGCCGTTTCTTGGTGACTGTGTGTATGTCAATGATTCAACGGATTCTTTTGTTTAATAATAAAATATTATTAGTATACTCATTAGTTGGAGCGCCGACCATAGTGTATAATAAAAATTGTTGGCTGTGATCTCCGACGGCATTTTTTTTAAAATAATATAAGGGTGACAAACGAACACACAGCCCATCTGATGGTAAGTGGATGCTGTGGTCCATAGACATCTACACTCCTCGATTAAGAATCAAAGTTAGGAACGTTGTTACCAATGAGGACTAAAATGGAATGCCTCGCTCCTAGTAAAAAGGGTCTGCGGTTCTCTGCACTCACCGTACGAAACACAGCAGTGTTAAGCTGCTATTTTACGCTGTTATTCTATGAAAGCGTGGTCCTTTCCCGGCCGAGCCGAGCCATTCGTGCTACAATCATAATATAGCTGCTGATTGGCTCTACCACGTAAATTATGATTTTCTCTTCGATCTTATTGTATAAAAATCAAGAAGAAGAAGGTTAAGAAATCTCTCTAAAGTGCCTCTTTTTGGATGCAGTACTGTAGGTCACAAGCTTTTTTCCAAGGAACAAGTATTTGTATTACCTACATATAATTATTTCGAGTCTGAATGTTGTTCCATATGAACCATTTATTTCAATTAAGGCCATCATTACACAGGTAGAAATCCTAGTGTAGGGGTTACGTTTTATTAAGGAATAAAATATAACAGAAAATGCTATTTGCTTTTGTATTTGGTCTATGCGTCACATAGAGTAACACGGGCCACCGGCAGACCGGAAAGGAGTAGCCATAGCGTTTTCCCTTATACTGAACTGTCTGTCGTTTTTGCGGTGGAGTAATCTGCACACACAAAAACAATCGTCTGTCACTAAAAAAATCACAGATAACAATTAAAACAATAAACTAACAATTTCACAAACACATAGATACATCATAAAAGTATCACCCGGTGACAGCGACAACTCGGATACAGTCTCGGATGCTGACCTCCATATATACTAGTGCGCAGGACTGGCTATACCTTACAAAACTTTTGTGCCGATTTGAAGCGCTGCCATTAAATGTACCGGGAACTAAATTTGACATAATTTGCAAATGGCCGTTGTTTTGCTCAAAACATCTAGGAGTATTTTAAAGTTTTAAACGAGAAAAAGAGTTTGTGTAGTATAGTTCGGTTATGTTTCATGTTATTAATATAATAAAAAATATTTTAGTAACAATGATAACGTAAAATTCGTTACCAGAAGGGAAAAGTCGTAACATTCCAAAAGTAAGGGGATTTAGGTGTAGTTTTAGTTGTAGTTTATATTAAAAAATTTAAACTATTTGATAATATAGGCTCTTAAAAATCTTATACTTATCTTATTAAATGTAATTATGTAATTATTAACATGTTTGACTTCTTTCTTATAGGATAGGATGGCAAACGAGCACACAGTCCACCTGATGGTAAGTGGTTGCTGCGATCCATCCATTAGACATCCACATCTATCCTCAATAAAGAATCAAAATGCAGATGCGTTGTTACCCGTGAGGTCTAAGATGGAATGCCTCTTTTCCAATAAAAAGGGTCGCCGGTTCTCTACACTCACCATACGAAACACAGCAGTGTTAACCTGCTATTTTACGCTGGTATTCTGTGAGAGCGTGGTCCTTCTCCAGTCGAGCCGACCCGTTCGTGCTACAACTATACTATTAATATAGCTGCAGCATGGCTCTACCACGTACAAAACTTTTAACGTTGTACGTGTAGCGTTAATTTTCAACGCAACGTAACGTTGACTTTCATTTACCTATTATTGATAAACAATAAAATTCAATAGGGTTGACGAAATAATTATCGATGTTTTCTTCTATCCATATCTATTTACAGCACTGAAAAGCGCTGACAACAGATAATTATCAAATATTTAATAATTTGCGGGTTTTCACCTAACTTTGTACTAAAACTGTGACTAAAAAACATAAAACTTGTGAATTGGCGTCCGAAGCAAATTGATTATGATTATGACGTCAATGATTGGTGGTATGGTATTCTTTAATGTTTATAATTTAATTAATTTTTAACTCACTGATTTTCTTTATTACGAGGACTAAATAAATGGGTAACAAAAAAATGAGTTACAATTTTTTTTGTCGTTACCTACTCCAATTTTTTCTACACATTGGACCTTTTTAAACCTCTCGAATGAACCATAAATACCCAATGATGAATCTCGAAACAAAGCCGTTCTATAATTACAAAGAAAAACGTATATTTTTTTTTATAGGATAAGGGTGACAAACGAGCACACAGTCCACCTGATGGTAAGTGGTTGCTGTGGCCCATAGACATCTACATTGATCCTCGGTTACGAATCAAAATGCAGATGCGTTGTCACCCGTGAGAACTAAGATGGAATGCCTCGATTCCAGTAAAAAGGGTCTCCGGTTCTCTACACTCACCATACGAAACACAGCAGCATTAAGCCGCTATTTTACGCTGGTATTCTGTGAGAGCGTGGTCCTTCACCGGTCCAGCCGACCCATTCGTGATACAACTATACTACTAATGTAGCTGCAGCATGGCTCTACCACGTGTAAATATAGACGCAGCGTCAATTTTTGTTTTATATGAGGTATAAATCTTGTGTCTAATACATAAGTATTAATTGCTACATTTATTTATTGTCTGGTTACTATATTAAATCGGTTCATAAATAGAATGGTAGGCCTGAATATATAATTTTTATCGATATATTTTATCAACTGTCTCTATTACTCCTAATCTCTATTATTAGTTCCGTGGACGCTCACTTCTGCTATCAGCGAAAAATTAATGAAAAAATGGCGAAAACTAAATTACCTCATTATGTCACAGTTTATAGCCAGTCCACCAAACCTGTATTATAGAGGTCAGTGGTCCCAGATCAGTCGCTCGACCAATCTATTGTATACATGTATCGTATGAGTTCGAGCGACATATGTTGGTAAACAAAGACAACACGAACGTTACTATTATAACTTTTAAATTTAAAAAGAAGTACATAGTAAAAATGTGATTAAAACTTACATATGAAAGATAACGCCATATTTTAGTAAATTTGACGCGTCAGATTTCTTTTATTTTTTTTTATTTTGTAGGATGTCGATTCATCGTCGATTTTATCTAGTGAGTGGTGCAGCTGCAACTAGCGTTATTGTACGCATAGGACTGTGTGGACTTGTACTTTGACAGAAGGGAACGCCTGCGAATGGTTACTCCTATCCGATCTGGCGGTGGCAAATTTTGCTTTACGATCTGTCATAACGAATTGTCTACGTGGTGGTCAATAGGCATTAAATCCTACCGTGGTATCCCGTCGACCGTGGTATGTTTTAATAAGTCATGCAATAAGGAATAATATATTTTTTATAGGATATATAGGATAGGGTCACAAACGAGCACACAGTCCACCTGATGGTAAGTGGTTGCTGTGGCCCATAGACATCTACATTTATCCTCGTTTGCGAATCAAAATGCAGATGCGTTGTCACCCGTGAGGACTAAGATGGAATGCCTCTTTTGCAGTAAAAAGTGTCTCCGGTTCTCTACACTCACTATACGAAACACAGCAGCATTAAGCTGCTATTTTACTCTGGTATTATGTGAGAGCGTGGTCCTTCCCCGGTCGAGCCAATCCATTCGTCATACAACTATACTACTAATATAGCTGCAGCATAGCTCTACCACGTTAAAATATGAATATATGAAGAGAATCCTAGTATTATGTGTAGTGGTGGTGTAAGAGAATTCACTACCTCATACTATCCCGTGCATGTCATAAGAAGCAACAGAGGAAAATGAAACAGAAGATAGGATGTAGCATTCCTGATAACAACTCAGAATAATAAAAAAATGCCGTTTCCAACGCGCCTCGTCAACCTTGGCAACCATGGAGAATATCCCTTTTATAAGGAAATCTATAGAGGCTTCAGCAGTGGACTTTTGATAGCGAATGAATGAATGAATGAATAAAAATATAAATGATAGAATGAATAATATTCTGCCTTTATTACATCGCAATCACGCCTCACTTTTGTCGCCTTTTTCATTTTATTTTCAGATCTAGTCAGCTCAGTTACAAAATTCTCGACTCGATGGACGTATGAAGGTAATTTTTTTTTTTAAAAACGTTACCCCCACACCAGGATTTTCTCCTGTGTCGTGGAGGCAGTTTACAAACATCAATTGCACAAGGACAAACATCCAGACCCGGAACAATTATTTGTAGGCCATACAAATACTTGTTCCGTGCGGGATTCGAACCCGCAGCCCCCAGCGCAACAACTGATTGTTAAGCCACTGCGCCACGGAGCCGTCATTTTATTTAATTATTATATTATATCGTTTGGCAAATTGTTTTTTTCAATCGAGGTAGGACCACGCTCTCACAGAATACCAGTGTATAATAGCATCTTAATGCTGCTGTGTTTCGTATGGTGTATATGATGAAACGAAGCACTCCATCTTAGTCCTCTGGGGTGACAACGCATCTGCATTTGATTCTTTATCTAGGATAGATGTAGATGTCTCTGGGCCATAACTTCCACTTACCATCAGCTGGATGTTTGTTACACTACCATGTATAAAACGTGTTTTATGGCAATATAAAGTGATTGTTAATCTTGTGGTGTTGACGTAATGGTATCTATAACCCTATTTCGGTCTGTGATTGACGTGAAAGGCGATTATGGGAAGATGATCTAATGGATTCCAATGAATGACGAAACGCTGTCATACCAGCGAAGGGGATCTGGGAGCATCTTCAAAGTTTAGAGACGTCTAGTACTTCAATCGATAGATAGATAAAAATATATAAAAAGATCTCTTTAATATCAAAACAAAACGTGAACGAAAGTAGGAGAAAAAAAATTGAAGTCTTTATAGTTAAAATCGATTTCTTCTAGTCAATATTTGGATAAGCGTGTAGTGGCGGTGTAAGAAAATCTACTAGCCCACATCGTCCCGTGGGGGCCGTACGAAACAACAGAGGGGATTAGCAGCAGCGTCTTCCTGATAACAACCAAGCGCGGCAACTATGTTATAGTTGAGTGTAAAAAGACCATGAGACAATCTTTGTCGAAGGTTTATGCTCAGTAGTAGACTTTTATAGGCCTATAATGGATGGATGAATGGATGGGACCTCTGTATGATATTATCGCAAAAAATTGTGAGGTTTTGCGAGAACAAAACTTTCAAATATATCCATCTAATATACCTACTAGATGGCCAGGCAGATGTTGTTCTGCCCTTTCGTTTTAATTCGCAATAAAAAATACTGAGGGTCACTTATCGAGATAAAAACTATCCTATCTCTCAAGTTGGACCAAACTGCACACAACGTGCAAAATTTCGTTGAAATCAGGTCAGTAGTTTAGGAGTTCATCGCGGAGAAACAACGTGACACGTAATTTTTATATATAAAGATTATAGGGCTGGTGATAAGAGGGCTGGTTCTTTTCTCGCTCAGTATAACCATCCAGCGGGGAAACGCAGCCAGCGCTCTTGACTCGATACCGCGGGCAGTAGGACTGTATGATAATTAAGTTACTAGTTTTGGTTTTTTTTATTATAGTTTTTAATATTGTATATAATAAAATACTGTATATTATGTAATGTAAATAAATTTATTTGTTTCTATATATTATAGAAACAAACAACATAATATAAGTACATGAAAATACGAATATAAACATTCAAGCTGTAAAACCCAATCTCACCGCCTTAGGAGTTGAATTTTACAAAATCCTTTCTTGGTGAGTGTCTACGTCGAGAAATGAGTACATAATATCCCAAATTTCTAGTCAATCGGGCGTATAGTTTTAGACATCTTGTGATGAGTGAGTGAGTCAGTGGTATTTCGTTAATATGTATATACCTAGAAGATATAAATGACACTAAACTAATGTTAAACACTCGCTACCCACGCTTTTTGACCAATAATGAATGTAGTTATTGAATAGTTTTCTTTTTATTTTGCGTTATTTGAGGTCTGTTAAGCTGGAATGGTCATTTGGGCAAAATCACTTAAATTTTTGCTAAATATTTAGTGCTCATTTAGTGCTAATTTAGTGCTGCAAATTTAAATTTCACGCCAAAATAACTTGATCAAAAATTAGAAAACTGCTAGCTTTTAATCAAGCTAGCAGTGTTCTACCTATTAAAACGATAACCGCTTAATACAACACCAAATAGAAGCATCAATAATTTAGTGCTCATTTAGTGCTGCCGATATACGCAAAAACAAATATTGGGAAAATATATATTTTTTTAATATCATAAATTCTGCTACTTTGACATCTTTAGCAGAGCAGGTATTGAAAAAATATACATCCAAGTGGATTATCACCTAATGATATGAGATAATAATTTAATGCTCATTTAGTGCTGCCGATATACGCAAAAACAAAACTTGGGAAAAATATTTTTTTAATATCATAAACTCTGCTACTTTGACATCTTTAGCAGAGTATGTAATGAAAAAAATTACATCAGAATGGGCTATCACATAATGATATAAGATAATAAATTAGTGCTCATTTAGTGCTGTCCATATACGAAAAAGGATTTGGAAAATTATCATTTTTAAACACCGTAAACTGCTACCTTGATATTTAGCAGAGTATGTGATGAAACATTGACATCCAAGTGAATTATCACCTAATATCTCAAATCCTTTTTCATATATCGACAGCACTAAACGAACACTAATTTATTATCTTATATCATTAGGTGATAATTCACGTCGATCTCAATTTTCTCTTCACATACTCTGCTAAAGATATCGAGGTAGCATTTTACGGTACTTAAAAATAATAATTTCTCAAATCTTTTTCATGTATCGACAGTATTAAACTAGCACTAATTTAATATCTTATATCATTAGGCGATAATTCGCGTCGATGTTACCCTTTTTTTGTTTGTTTACGGTATTTAAAAAAAATAATTTCTCAAATTCTTTTTAGTATATCGACAGCACTAAATGAACACTAATTGATTATCTCATATCATTAGGTGATAATTCACTTGGATGTCAATGTTTCATCACATACTCTGATAAATATGCCAAGGTAGCAGTTTACGGTGTTTAAAAATAGTAATTTCCCAAATCCTTTTTCGTATATGGACAGCACTAAATGAGCACTAATTTATTATCTTATATCATTATGTGATAGCCCACTCTGATTTAATTTTTTTCATTACATACTCTGCTCAAGATGTCAAAGTAGCAGAGTTTAAGATGTTAAAAAAAATATTTTCGCAAGTCTTGTTTTTGCGTATATCGGCAGCACTAAATGAGCATTAAATTATTATCTCATATCATTAGGTGATAATCCACTTGGATGTCTATTTTTTCAATACCTGCTCTGCTAAAGATGTCAAAGTAGCAGAATTTATGATATTAAAAAAATATATATTTTCCCAATATTTGTTTTTGCGTATATCGGCAGCACTAAATGAGCACTAAATTATTGATGCTTCTATTTGGTGCTGTATTAAGCGGTTATCGTTTTAATAGGTAGAACACTGCTAGCTTAATTAAAAGCTAGCAGTTTTCTAATTTTTGATCAAGTTATTTTGGCGTGAAATTTAAATTTGCAGCACTAAATTAGCACTAAATGAGCACTAAATATTTAGCAAAAATTTAAGTGATTTTGCCCAAATGACCATTCCAGCTTAACAGACCTCGTAATTTGCGTATTTGCGTTGTTTACTTTTTCATACTTAATATAGACGACACGAGAGTGCGACAGAGACCGCAACATGAGGCGTCCTGTTTCCCCATTTTATTGCACCATGGGCAGCGAGTGTTTAACATTAGTATAAAACATAGATTAAGATATATAAGGACTGGGTGCGTCTCGCAGACAGAGGTAGGGTGTTTCATAGACGAACTCCTTAAATAGTAAATGACCTGCCCAAAAATGTGTTATTATGACCAGGCATTTCCATTATTAAATTGATGAACCCGAACACGTTAACTCTTACAAGGTACAAGTTTTTTTTTTCAGACCAAAGTCAATGGCCTGGGGATAAGTGCAATGGAGGTGGCCTAAGACAGTCACCGATCGACATCAAAAGGTCGGATGTGATTAAGGATTTCTCCCAACAGTTTATCCAGTACGGGGACCTGATGCTTGCCGGTTACCAGGAGGTCTTACTCACAGCAACTAACAACGGTTACACGAGTGAGTCAACCCTTTTTTTGCGAGCCACGATTGCTCTGTGCAAAATGCAAATTTACCAACGAAATTGCGAATAGCCCTTAACCAACGAAATTGTTAAATGCAATTTTGTTGGTTAAGGGCTGATTCAACACTTGCTCAGCGTTGAAGGAAAAAATCGCAAAGAACTTCCACCTTTTTTATGGGATCGGGTGAAAAACGAGCACACAGTCCACCTGATGATAAGTTGTTACTGTGACCCATAGACATCTACATCTATCCTCAATAAAGACTCAAGATGCAGATGCGTTGGCACCCGTGAGGACTAAGATGGAATGCCTCTTTGCCAGTAAAAAGGGTTTCCGATTCTCTACACTCACCATACGAAACACAGCAGCGTTAAGCTTTTTTGTGAGAGCTTTTACGCTGGTTTTCTGTGAGAGCGTGGTCCTTCCCCGGTCGAGCCGACCCATTCGTGCTACAACCATAGTATAGCTGCAACATGGCTCTACCACCTACCGAGAATTAAAAAAAATTGGAAGACATGCGAAATCTTTGTGTAATTTATGTATGTGAAACACTCTCACGCTACAGGAGAAAGCCCTGGTGTGTTTTATTCGATACCCCAGAGAGATAATGATGACAGCAAAACTTATTATTTAAACTATTTCAATCAGCCGCGGAATACCTCGAAATTTATTAAAACCTTGAACATGATTATTATTATTTTAAAAAACGTTAACCATTAGGAATTTTAGGTACTTTCGCACTGCGAATTTCTCCTGCACAGTGGAGGTGTTGGACAAAAATAAAAAGCAAAATTTTAACGTTGCAGAACCATGCCATTCTGCAGTTATTTGCAGCACAAATGGGTAGGCTCGACCGGTGAAGGACCACGCTCTCACAGAATATCAGCATTAAATAGCAGCCTAATGCTGCTGTGCTTCGTATGGTAAGGATAGAGAAGCGGAGACCCATTCTAATCGCAATGGGGCATTCTATCTTAGTCGTCAGAGGTGACAACGTATTTACATCTAGGCGTCTATGAACCAGAACAACCACTTACCATCAGGTGGAATGTCTGCTCTTTTGTCACCCTTAATCTATAAGAAAAAAGTTGTATAAATAAGCATCCCAACTTGAAAAAATTACTTGTGTAGACCATACAAATATTTATTCCGTTCGGGAAACGATCCCACGGCCGACAGCAACACCACCAAACTCTTTGCTATCATTCCGTCGAAAATAATACTATTTAAACATTTCAACTTAAAAAAAACAATTCTAAAATATAATTGACATTCCTTAGTAATGTTCAGCACGGTGGGCGAAAAGGAAATACACCCCACTGTCACTGGAGGGCCCCTGAGACACGAGTACCGACTCGAGCAGGTGCACTTTCACTGGCTCTCAGAGCACGCCATCGACGGAGTTAAGTGCGTATCAAACGGCTTATTACTAACACTAGTGATCCGACCTGGCTGCGCCTGGATCTATTAATGTGGCGTCGTCGTTGCGAACAATCGAAGTACTTGATCGACTTTTAATAATTTTAGAATAAAAAAAAATTAACAAACGGTTTTTTTGGCATAGATTAGATAATGACAATTGTACAGTTTAATAATATGTCTTGATATAATGTCGGTATTGTATTCAACCTATTTTAAATAAATTTAACATAAGTAGAAATAAGCATGTACAGAACGCGCGCGTCGCCTATAGATTTAAGATAATCAAATTAATAGAATCAGGCGTTACTTTGCGGAAATCCATTATATTAGATGTTATAAAATTATCAGCAAAAATATGCGTAGCAAAATCTAAGTAGTGTCTTTAGCGATCGGCTACCGCAGAGTCACATAATTTAAAATTAAAAATTTTGTACAGCCGACTTCAATATAAGTTATTTAAGAATAACTTAAAAACTATTGGTCTGACCTTGATCAAATTCATATGGGACCACACGAGAAGTACCAGCTTTCAAATAAAAAAAGAATCATCGAAATCGGTTCACCCAGAAAAAAGTTCTGAGGTAACACACATAAAAAAAACGAAAAAAAAAAAAACATACAGTCGAATTGAGTACCGGCTCCTTTTTGGAAGTCGGCAGAAAACTGGGTATTATCGACGGTGTTGTGTCTTTCCTAATGTAGTGGTGTTGGGATTAGTGGTGACGGGTATAGTGCACGTAATTGAGGGAGGGCGGGAGGTGCGTCATCTTACTAGGTAAGACACGTCATTTTATTTTATTGAGCGGATCTTAGCTGATTAAATTTTAACTTGTTTAATTTAAAATAATCATCATAAACCATTTATTGCATAAATTTTTAGATTTTTCAAAACAATCTCTAAGTTTTTGGATAAAATATAGCCTAGATCACTCCTCGCATTTGTTCGTCAAGTTTCAGTGACAGACGGACAGACAGACATCATGGTCGACCACTTTAACTTTATAATATGTATTCGAGATTATGATAGTTATCTGAATGTAACCAAACACATAAAAAGGACAATTTTTCACTTAATTATCCAAAAAGTCGCGAGATGTAATTGTGCTCATTTTCTTTCGCCTATTCTTAATGGATTGAAGATATAAAAAATATTTTACGTTTGTAATCTGTGCTTTTTAATTTTATTGTAAATACAAACTCGAAAAATAAATCGACAAAAGATAGATTTTTAAGAAAGCGCTATTATAGAATTCGATTTTTATGTGAATCCATTCATTAGGTTCGATTCGAATCGATTTAAAAAACTATCTTTTCGGAAAGAATCGCAATCCCTACTACCAAGCTTGACGATTAAGGACTCCCTACAATGGGTGAGGCCAATACCCAGTAGTGGGCTTTTACAGGTTACTAATGAAGACACTTCTTTACAGGTTTCCTCTTGAAATTCACTTTGTTCATGTGCGATCTGACCTTAATGTGAAACAAGCACTAAAGAAGAGGGATGGACTTGCTATTTTTGCAGTTTTTTGTAAGGTAAACGAATTTAACCATTCATCGTTCAACATTTTTATCCACTCTGGCCCACAGCTAACAGTCGTGGTAGAGCATGCTGCAGCTATATCATAGTTGCAGGACGAATGTGTCGGCTGGAACGGAGAAGAACCACGCTCGCAAAAAGCCACTGTGCGTATCATATGGTGTGTGTAGAGAACCAGAGGCCCTTTTTACTGGAAATGAGGCAATACATCTTAGTACTCAAGGGGACAACGCATCTGCATTATTGATTCTTAATCGAGGGTAAAAGTAAATGTCAACGAGCCACAGCATTCACTTAACATCAGGTGAACTGTGTGTTCGTTTGTCACCCATATTCTATAAAAAAGTAAAATTACATCCCAACATACGTCCCACGGTACTATTGCGTACAGGCCTTCTCCCATTTCTGAGAGGGACATGGAGCAAATAGTTCACATTTCACCATCGCACATCGCGACAAAACTCGCGATACCATCCATACCATCTGGATGTTTGCCGGTCCACTACTGTGCGATTTACAAGAAGTTTTCTTCCTCGCACAACTTCCTTGTGGGAGCGACTACCACCACCGATTTTTCCTTTGACCTTCAATTAGAGAGCCTGCTATTTTTTTAAAGGCCAGCAACGCATCTGCAATTCCACTGGTTGCAGTTGTTCAAGGGCATTTGCCCCCTTATAAAAAATAGTTCTCCACGCTGCTCCAGTGTGTGGGGGCGGCGAATTTCGCATGTCCTCGCATTATTTTATTGCTCAGACTTGCAAGTTTCCTGACGATATTTATCTTTATCGCCGAGCACGTATTAAATCGGCATTTAAAATTGCCATTAACAATTTCATTCGTGCCGGTGGGGATCGAACCGGAATTAATGAAAAAAACATGATAATGATCGTATTTTAAAATTTTTTTTTTATTTGTTTAAATAACATAATGGAAATTTACATTATTATAGTTTATGATCATTATCCTATACACGTGGTAGAGCCATGCTGCAGCTATATTATCCAGTACGAATGGCTCGGCTCATAAAATACCAGCGTAAAATAGTAGCTTAATGCTGCTGTGTTTCCTATGGTGAGTGTAGAGAACTGGAGACCCTTTTTACTGGAAACAAGGCGCATTCCATCTTAGTCCTCAGTACAACGTATCTGCATTTTCATTCTAATTTAAGGATAGATATAGATCCACACATATAGAGCCTCAGCATCCACTTAACATCAGTTGGACGGTTTGTTCGTTTCTCAGAATTATTCTATTAAAAAGAAAATTTGTAGTCCGTGGCTGCGAATCAATATTTAACAAACAAGTGGTAAAGTTAAAAATTTTGTACAACCGACTTTAACATAAATAAAATGAAAAAAATCATCAATGTCGATCAACTCAGTTAAATACGAATTATTAAGGATAATGCAAAACCTGGTCAGATCTTGATCAGATTTATATTTCAATTAGAAAAGAATCATAAAAATCGATTCACCTCGAAAAAAGTTCTGAGGTAACACATATAAACAATACAGTCGAATTGAGAACCTCCTCCTTTTTTTGAAGTCGGTTGAAAATAAGCGTAAGAGCATTCATTATTTACAAACTTATTAATTAACACCGTTGCGTTTCTTTTGCATACAAATATGTTCATCATCATCATTACAGCCCTTCACAAGTCCACTGCTGAACATAGGCCTCCCCAAAGGAATGCCACAAAGCACGGTCCTGAGCCACCTGCATCCATCGACTTCCTGCATGTCTTACCAGGTCGTCACTCCATCGAGCGGGGGATCGCCCTACACTTCGCCTACTGGTACGAGGCTGCCACTCGAGAACATTTTTTCCCCATCGATTGTCGGTTCTTCGAGCTATATGGCCGACCCATTGCCACTTCAGCTTACTAATCCGTTGATAAATTGAGTGCTTACCATATATTCCCAATCATATTGGGTGCATATTACTTCACATAGAAAATAGTACGTGAAGTAATGTACACCAATTTGTACTGAAGCGCAAGCATATAGTCATCATCATCATCATTACAGCCCACCACAAGTCCGCTGCTGAACATAGATTTCCTCCAAAGCATGCCACAAAGCACGGTATCGACATACTGTCCCATAGTGTTCTATGTCGCGAGGACCTATCCCTCTATTGTGATTTGGTTACAACCTGGGTTCGAATCAGGTTTTAATTTATGTGATTAGAACTAGATAAAAGACAAGTATATAACCTTATATTTTGTATTAGCGAATATCTGTTACCAAAACTCTTAGTCGGGACATCTTGTCGCTGAAGAACCTCCAACCACCCGTTACATCTCTCCCAAAACCTCCACATCTAGGTAACGTTCAACAATATGAAATGCAGTATGATGTTAAAAGGCATAACTCTTACCAATATCTCCTTGTCAAGGCGCAACAGCATCTCTAGTTAGAGAGTAGTATCTTCTTCGAACAGCAACTTCAAACTGATTATTAATACGTCACTAACATTTAAGTCCCTTCCCCTTCTCTTTCAACTACAGTGCTGCCCTCTTAGCAACATACCGATAGTTTTGGTAATTTCCTTTTACGGTGAAAATAATGGTAATTAAAAACAAATAAAAAAACATAAAAACTGCTTTATAGTTAGTTCAGTTATTATGCAAAGTTTCATGATCTGAATTGAAGTATTTTTTGAATACCAGCGGTTTACGGTCGGTTTGGAGACAACTTTGCATTTTTTTCCATCAGGATAATTTTAGGGAATCGTGTTTTCGTCATAGTATTTAACATTAACCCTCAACTTTTTACAATATATTTATTTCAAAATCAATGCTGCAGTATTTTCGGCATAACGGAGGAGCATGCTAAGCCATTTGAGGTAGTAGAGACTCTTAATTCTGGTTATATATACTTCGCGTTTGCGACATTTTTCTTTTATTATAGGATAAGGGTGAAAAACGAGCACACAGTCCACTTGATGGTAAGTGGTTGCTGCGGCCCATGGACATCTACATCTATCCTCTATTACAAATTAAAATGTAGATGCGTTGTCACCCGTGAGGACTAAGATGGAATGCCTCATTTCCAGTAAAAAGGGCCTCCGGCCACCTGCACTCACCAAGCGAAACGCAGAGGTAAACCTCTACTTCACGATGGTTTTCTGTGAGGTCGTGGTACCACCCCGGTTCGAGCCGGCCCATCCGTGCGACAGCAAAAGCTGCCGCGTGGCTCTACCACTGTTGACATTCTATCTCAAATAAGAGAGGAGGCCTGAGCTCAACAGTAAAAATTTATAGACTAACATTATATTTTCGATTTTAAAACACTGTTCACAGATTCTTGATCAAGAAGATCAAATTGAAACAGCTTTCGATGAACTCACATTCCTCCTTTCAAAGTTGAAGAGGGTTGGAAGCCAAGTCAGCGATGCGTTGTTAAATTTAACGTGAGTATTCCTATGAAATTCGGTGTCTGTCTCTCCGTCCGATTTTGTAACGTTAAGAAAGTGGGATTTATTATCTAGTCCTTCATCACCACTTACCACCGTGTAGGATTGTTTTCTGTATAAAATAAGGGTGATAAACGAGCACACAGTCCACCTGATGGTAAATGAAGGCTGTGGCCTATAGATATCTATATTTATTATCAATTAAGAATTAAAATGCAGATGCGTTGTCACCCGTGAGGGCTGAGATGGAATTGCCAGTTACGAGTAAAAAGGGTATTCGGTTCTGTACACTCACCATACGAAACACAGCAACATTAAGCTGCTATTTTACGCTGGTGTTCTGTGAGAGTGTCGTCCTACGTAATACAACACTATCCGATTCAAGCTGTGGTTTAAGAATAGACCTTCTACCTAAAGATATTCTAACCCAAATCTAAGCTACAGTCTTCGATCAGACCATCGCCCGGTCCTCATGACAGTGCAGCCCAGCAGTGAGGTTCTTCCAACCAAAACTGTGACGAACTGGCGTAGGCTAACCTCGAATCTACGAACTCCCAACACTTAGATTAGGTGCCAGACCTAATTGACATCTCTCATCTCACCTCTTGAATCACACTGGCCGTCGGAAAATCCTCAAGGCAGGTCAGGGCGACGAACGATCGTCGTTTTGAACTCCCCGAGGATATGAGGCGGCTACTGAGAGAGAAAAACCGCCAACAATAGGTCAAACTTGCGCCGCCTCTGTTGAGAGGTCATATAGTGCATGAACCAACTGAGGAATATACGTTGGGACAGGTTAATGGAAGACATCTCGCCTTCCCATAATGCCTTCTGGCGGTTTGCGAGAGCTCTGAAGTTAGAAAATGTAGCTTAGATGCCCACATTAGTTGGATCTGACAGTTCAGTTCTCGTTAGATGACTCTGATAAGGCCAAATGCATGGCAGATAGCATTGAGAGCTCAAGAGCCATCGAGAGCCAATGCTCTCTTAGCACTCTGCCTGTCGACCCCGTTTACTTGAATAAGGTGGACGAAGAACCGGCTAATTTATCCACCACGTCAACAACAGATTCTCCTCTTCCTCCGTTACCTTTGATGAGATCAAGACCATCATCACGGATCTCACGCCCCGGAAAGCGCTAGGCACTGACGGTATCAGTAATAAGGTGTTTAAGGCCTTCCCTTCCGAGCTGATCTGTCTTTTGGTGGCTATCTTCAACATTATATTATCCAACTGCTCTTTCCCAGATATATGGGAAGAATTAGATGTCATCGATTTTCATAAACAGAACAAACCCGGAGATATGGCAACTAGTTTTAGGCTCATTAGTCTCCTCAGTGCTATGGGAAAAATCCTCAGCCGACTGAATGATATTGTGCCAAACAAAAATCTGGTTCTCAACGAGCAGTTTCACTTTCGAGCCAAACACTCATGTGTTTAACAAGTGCACCGCCTCACGGAGCACGTCTTAGATCACACCACAAGCTCGAACTGACGCATTGCTTATAGTGGTGATTTGTTATTAAACGTGGCTAAGGCCTACAACAAGGTCTGGCACAATGTATTACTTTATAAAGTTCTCCGTATAGATGTGACTACAAGACTTGTCAAAGTCATACAGGACTTTCTTTTCAATTGATCTTTTCTTTTTCGCGTCGGGGGACCTTCTCCTCTTCCAGGCCCGTCAGAGATGGAGTTCCCCAGGGCTCTGTGCTCTCCCCGACTCTCTAATCACTTTACGTGAGCGATATCCCTATGATACCCAATACTTGGTACTCAACTTGCACTCTATGCAGATGATACAACAATTATTTATATATTATTTATTTATTTATTTACACACACACACACACACACTTAACAACTATCCTTACAGGCTAAACAAACCCACTGCGATAGTGTCGCTAATCTACTTAAATATACTATGTATTGCAACTAACTTACATAACTAACTATGTATAAAAGTACCTTAGCGAGTTCACTCAGATTACTCGAAAATATGTCAATCCTCTCGTGAACTTTGTTCACTACGAGGATTGTTCGGACTATAGGTGAGTTACTAAGCAAATTGATCCTGGCCACGGGATATATTTATGATGATAGCCCCTTCAGAGTCTGTATTCGACTCCAAGCTGCAGCAAACGTACTACGTGGTGCAGAAAATGGAAAATCGGATTAAATCCCGATAAAAGAAATGCTATCATGTTTAACACGAAGGCTTGCTATAAAAATTCCATCTTCACTTAGCTTATCTCAATCACTTGGGTTAGAGAAGAGAAATACCTGGGGGTGACGTTAGATAATGCGATGAGCTTCACCCATCACAATAAAGCTGTTAAAAATAAGGCGAAATTTGTAATATATCGCCTTTTCGCTCTAACGCATAAACGCAGTAAGCCGTCCTTGAGACACAAACTGCATCTTTACAAAACCTGCGTACGTCCCATTATCACGTCTACAGGTGTGTCCTTTGCCCATATTTCTCCAAATCATCTTTGGCAACTTTCAAGTTCTTCAAAATAAATTCCTGCGAGGTTTCATTCGAGTTTCTTTTATATGTGAGAAACGTCGATCTCCACTGCAATCTCGACATGCTCATTATCCCTTCGTATCTTTAGGAATTATCCTTAAGGTACTTCAATTCGATTAAAGAACATTTTAATCCATTGGTAGTAAAGGCGGGTTCGAAAAAAGCCATAATAAATTCTTAGCGTATGTCGGTATTCTCTGACCACTTTGGGCACTTACAATCTGGCACTTTTGTCCTATCACGTCAATTTCGCGAATAATTTTTCTCTGCCGTAAAAGATATTTTGTCAAACTGCAAACAGAATATATTAAAATATGATCAAAACAATTTACCAGGAATTGAAAATAATTGTAATATGTACTTTAAGAAGGCAACACCAGATAGTGTAAATAAACTAATTAATAAGTTAAGTACTGATAAAGCCCCAGGTTTTGATTGCATTAGAATGAGAGATATCAAAAGCATTGCTAATATAATTTCAGAACCCTTAGCTAAATTTATAAATACCTGTATTAAAACAGAGACATATCCAGATGAACTTAAGGTAGGATGTGTTAGACCAATCCATAAAAAAGGTAAGTTTGATGACACAAATAATTATAGACCAATTAGTTTAACATCATCAATAGATAAAATAGCGGAAAAATATATCTGTAATCAAATACATGAGTTTTATCAAAAAAGTAATATTTTAAGCTCTAGCCAATTCGGCTTCAGGCCTGGTAAGAACACTGCAATGCTATTTTCGGAACTCACAGATCAAGTTAATTCATGGATGAATCAGAAACTACATGTTCTAGCCCTATTTATTGATTTTTCTCGCGCCTTTGATACATTAGATCATAATAAGCTGATTAGGAAGTTGGAAAATACAGGTATTCGTGGACCTCTTTTAAATTTGTGTAAAAACTATCTGACAAATAGAAGCTACCGTGTTAAAATTTGTGAAAGCTACAGCACATCAGTCAAAGTAACCGAAGGCACAGCTCAAGGTTCCGTACTTGGACCATTGCACTTTAAAGCCTATGTCAATGACATGAATAAGATCTTTAGATATTGTAATAACTATCAATACGCTGATGGCACTAAAACAAAATGTATGAAATTCGTGACTCCAAATGTCAAACAATTAAATACTAATGTAATTTTAAATGGGGAGAAACTGAGTCTTGTAGATACCACCATTTTTCTTGGAATCACACTAGACGCGAAGCTTCAATGGAGCCCCCATATATCAAAACTAGCAAGCAGACTTAGTTCTGCAGCATATGCTGTAAAAAAGATTAGAAGTCTAACCAGTGTTGAAACAGCTAGACTAGTTTACTTCAGCTACTTCCATAACATAATGTCTTATGGTATTCTGCTATGGGGACACGCAGCTGACACTGAAATTATATTTGTTTTGCAGAAGAGGGCCATAAGAGCAATTTATGATTTAAAGCGAGTCGCTGTGACAAAAATTTAAGGAAATTAATATATTAACTTTGGCCTCTCAATAACATTTTGCATGAAAGTCAACATGGGTTTCGAAAGAATCGTGCAACGACTACTAACTTGATAGCGCACATGGACTATGTCTGTGCTGAGATGGATTCTAGGAGACAGGTAGACGCCGCCTATTTCGATTTTAGGAAGGCTTTTGACCTGGTGAGTAATGACATACTGTTACATAAGCTAGCTAAGTTGGGCTTTACTCCGAAACTTCTTCAACTCTTTGCTAGCTATTTGGATAATCGTCGTCAATTTGTTAGAGTGAGTGGTTTCGAATCCGCTGATTATTTCACTAGATCTGGGGTGAGTCAGGGTAGTACTCTTGGCCCTACGCTGTTTTTAATTTTTATAAATGACTTGCCTACCAAAGTAAAATTTGCGAAGTGTTTGTTATTCGCAGATGATCTAAAATTAAGTTTGGCGATTGGTAGTGTTGCTGATGCACAGGCTCTTCAACGAGACATAGATGCGGTATCGAAATGGAGTGAACTGAACCATCTTCCTCTTAATGTGACTAAATGGAAGGTTATCACTTTTGCATTAAAACAGAATCCTGTCATTATTAATTATAACTTATACGACGCGCCTTTGGTAAGAGTATATGACATACGTGACTTAGGTTTAATATTAGATAGTAAATTGAGTTTTCACAATCATATGACATCCATTTGCAAGTTAGCTAGTAAGACTTTGGGTTTTGTGATGAGGACTGCAGCTGACTTTGATGATATAAGGGTGGCTAAAACTTTGTACAATGCGTATGTTCGTAGTAAGTTAGAGTATGCATCTGTGGTCTGGAATCCTTACGAGAAAAAGTATACTCTCTTGTTAGAGAGGATACAACGTAAATTTGCTCGTTGGCTTTATAAGAAAGTTCATGGGTACTACCCTTATTTGTATCGTTCTTTATTCGTCTTGGGTATGGTTGATTTTGAAACCCTAATGTTTAGGAGGGTGATGTCAACTATTAGGCACT